TAAAACTTAAACATTATGTTTATTTTTTATCATTCTCATATGTTGGTTTCGTATAGACTCAACAACAACAACAACAACAACATTTCACTTTAGTACAACCGTAAGTTAACTATTGAATCAGAGAATTATGCTATACATAAATAGTATTCCTTTATGGCTTTTCTTCCCGTATGTATTTTTCTTTTTCATATTCAATGAAAAGTATTAGCTTAAGTTGAACAATCAGACTTTATTTAAGTTAGGAAAAGGATGTATAGTATTTTTTAATCTCGCTACTTACGAGGGAATCTCTTCAGTTGCTTCTTTCCAATTTCAATGATTTTTCAGCTTATAGAGACTCCATAGTGTTCTGAACCGAAATCCTTCTAGGATTTCGGTTCCTATTAATATTTGACTAAGCTATCGAGTTTTTTCTAAAGACATCAGGTTTTCAGAAAATTCGTATTTTGATCTGAAATTTTGTACATATAAAGAACGCATCATAAAAAATTTTGCAAATTTTCAACAACGTCTCTTCGAGATATGAAGCTTTCAAACAATGCATGTTGTGCATACTCGCCATGAGTAAGCATCTATATCTTGAAAGTCTCATGTCTCGAAGAGACTTTGTTCAAAACTTCCAAATTTTTTTACGTTAAGTTTTCTATATGCGCTACGTTTCAGATCAAAATTCGATAGCTTAGTCAAAGATCAATAGAAACTAAAACCTTTCTAGAATTTTTATGAGAACACTATGTAGGATCCATAGGCAAAAAAAAGGATCATTGAAACTAGAAGAAGTAGCTGAAAAAATGTGAAGGATAAGCTTCTTTCTGAACTTCTATTTCTGTCAAAGATCCAAACTAGTCTACTTTTTGATGGGTTGGATCTGTCGTCTGTTACAATCTGTGTGTTTCTATATTATTATTATAAAGATAAATGAATGGAAAGTAGAAGGCTATCTTGATAAGAAGGTAAGGACGTTATTGTATACTATAATGACGTGATAATATCAAATAGGTATTGATTTAATATATTACCTAGCTGTCGAGAATAGGTACAATCAGGAACATTAACATTTAGAAAAAAAAACTTGTTTATTAGTAATAACAACTTGAATAAATCTAATGAACTAGTTGAAGAGAGTAAATATCAAAACTTGTCATATTATGACAATATCAACGTAATTCAAGGACCAATAAAAATTAGTTTTGCGATTCATATATCATAATAATAATAATAATAACGATTAGAAAGCGCGAACCATATAGATGAATAAATTCAGTCAATACGTGAACAATGATCGATGTAGTCACAAGTTTTTAGTAGTAACGGTAGTGTCCAGTCAAAATGATTAAAAAACAATAAATTCTCATCTTGCAAAGTCAAAGGTACTCTTCACTGTATATTTTGATGATCATACATCTTACTCCTGGATGAATTTTATTTTTATTGAAAATTTTGAAAAAACATGACAGATTTGGAAATCAAAGTCTGAAGCAGTGATTTTTGGTCTTTAATTTTGAATATTTTAGACTTGAAAATGGAATTGAACAATTGAATTTGAATAATAATGAAAATCATAATATTCAGGTAAAAATATTATCAAATTCTCATATTAAAATTTATAATCATAAAATATTTATAAAGAATAATGGACGAATTCAAGCAGGTGAACGAGCAGCATTAACTGCTCGTATTACTGAGTTACAAGAAAAAGTAAATGCATTTGATGAAAAGTAAGAATAAGATATAAACAACAACAACAACAAAAAAAACACTTCTTCTTAATTATCTACTTAGATATACAGCACAAAATGATGAAATAGCTCGATTACAATTAGAAAATGGTGTTTTACAAGAAAAAATAACTAATGAAAAACGAAAAATATCAATTCTTGAAGTAAATCAATTAAATTTATCTTTTTTTTTTTCTATTTTTGATTAATATATTTTTATAGAATCTTGAAAATCAAATGCAAGGATTAATAGATGAAAAAAGTCGATTAGATAATGAATATCAAAAATTAAATATTGCTTATCAACAAAATTTAACTGAACAAAATGATTTACTTGTCCTTTGTTCGACATATGAAGATCAATTAAAAACTTGCAAAAATATAATTCAATCAGCAGGATTAACAGTAAAAAAAAATTTTCTTTACTAATCTTCTATTTTTGTTTTGTTTTTTGCTTTGTCTAGGTACCAAATTTTTTACTTGAACTTGATAATAATGAATAATCATCGTTCATTGGTTTTGATATATATATATGCATTCTCTTCATATATTTCTCATTTTAAATCGTTATTAATTGTTGTTTTTTTCTTTTCTGTATTTATGCCAATGTTTCAATCTTCTTTTATTGTTTTACTCGCAAACTGATCGTTAAATATAGAATTGTATGGGATACGGAATTATTATATTAAGGATAAAACAAAAAAAAAAAACATGCAACATATCAAATAAACTATGTTGAAAAATTGTATCCATCATGAGTCAATGCCGTTGATCATCCTCAGAAACATGAGGAAAACTAATCTTTTTGAGTTTCAACTTGAAACTTGGTACAGAGACATGTCTTAACGAGAATAGGTTTTTTGTGAATGTTTCAGTTCTTTTGATATGTTCCTACCCTAAAACAAAAATGTTCGAATCTGCTGATGTAAATATAAGCCATGTAGAAGACATATTTTTGCCATAGCTGTATTCTAGGATGAGAATAATGAAGAGATCTGAAACATTCACATTAAACTATTTTTTTTAAGGCCTTTGTCTATACAACATTTCAAATCAAAATTCGAAAACCACTTTTCCTGATATTCCTAAGAGATGGTACTATGACGCTGAGTTAAAGAATCCCGTAAGAATGCAGTACCTTCACAACGGTGACCTAAGAACTTAAAATCTTCCCTCAATATTTATTGTTAATCGCGGTCTACATTACGTATATAGTTTCAATTGAAAAGAGGATAATCATGTGGAGGCTACCCTTATTAGAAAAATACCTATAGTTAATAAATTACAAAAAACAATAAACCGTAGAACAAAAGTTTTGTATTAATTTTATTTCTTCGATGTCTTAGTGTAGGAGCATAGTCGAACATATCGGGTGTACACAACTGTCTTGATTATTTCGACTGTCTTAAACCAAGTTTACAACATGACAATGGACATGAAGATACGGCTGATTTATGTGCTATACAAGTTCGTGATAAAGTATCTAGTTTTATGAATGAATAGCGAATTACGAGTATGATTAAATAATGTAATCATTCTTTTTTTTGCAAAAAAAATGGTCATCTCATTGATTTCAATTCGGAATTGTTGGAGATAGAGAGAATGTAAAAAATGTTTTGAATAATTCTCTTTAAAATCACAATAGAAAACTCTTGTTGAAATATAGGACAGTCAAACTCTATTAATAATTATTCGTAATGGCAAAAATGATGATTTAGAAATGGATGATTTTGAAAAATTTTAACGCCTAAAGATATTTAGTTAATCCTAAATAATGGAAGTTAGAGTTTTTCAAAAAAAACTATCATCAATCAAATTTTGAATCGACTATCTGCCCCATTATATTTAGATTTAAGGTTCTCTTTTGTTAGAGAAAAAGAAATAGCAACATACGTTTCTTACGTAGTTCAGAAGGAATCTTTGAGTCGTTAGAATTGCCTCAGATGTGAACTTATTTAAATATGTTCATCTGTTAAATACTAATATTACAAGATAGAAAAAAAAACGAATGATTCTTGTCGAAAAGACGCTCCATAGTTACATAGATTGACTTTGTAACAGTAGCCAACCACTTCAATTCTAACAAAAATCTAAATTTAGACAAACAGTCTCATATAATTAGTATGTTTTAACATCGATGATACCACGAAGTATATCACTATTGGTTCTCTCTTCTTCTTCAAAAAAAAAAAAAAGAAGTAAATTGAATTATTTTAATTTTTCATAAGATCAAAAATAACTAAGATCCGCAGATATATGCATAGCAATATGAATCCCATGTTGAATTAACTATCTCAACTCAATTCGATTTAAATAAATCATCACAATTTGACGTTGAACAACTGTAACATTGATATGCATCAATTGATACTATGTGAACTAAGCCTGCAGGGAACTCGTTCTACAAGATCTTATAATTGGTGGCATCCCGGAAGAATACTGAAGAAATGAATTAACAATGATACAAAGAATCCATAGAGACAAAAAGAAAATGCGCATGATCAATGACACAGAATTGTTCCTTGGAGCTCTGGTACATAAAACGAATTTTAAGAAAAGTTCGAAAAAATAAAGATTCGTAAATGCGTAATTCTAAGATAAATTGTGATACTTATCAAACAATTGAGATATCAGTTTTTTTACAGATATCTTACCAAACTTCAAAAGTCAAAGAATAATATTGATAACTTAACAATTATAATCGATCAGCTTGTTATGTCCATTAATATATTGATACTAATTGTTGAACTTTGATAATTAAAAAAAAATATACTATTTCATTCAAAAAATTGTGTTCAAACACTGTCTAAACATATATTTTCTAATATCTCACAATCCAACTACAATTTAGATAGTAAAATTTTCATATCTTTTAAATATTCATTTTTACAAATATATGAGAACTTCAATTGAATTAAAGTTAACTTCTTAATTACATATTAGTCATTCTTTATACAATTGTATCGTTGTTTTTCTTAAGTCAATGTCAAAACTTTGAAATGATCATCCTGCTTATCTATCCATGTATTATATTCTACATTTTCGTATTGTTCATGCTCTAACAATGAATTAACTGTATAAATACAAGTGAAAGATAAATATTTATTCAAGTAAAATTTGTCTAAATAATACTATTCAAGAAATGAAAGTCATTTATATTTTATATTATTTATTATGTAATAATATTGTATTAAACTACACAATAAATGAAAAATTCAGAACCACCAAAAACTTTAATCTAAGAATATTTTATCAATGGTATGCCCATGAATTAAAAAAGAGTTAATCTGGTAAAATAGCTTTCAAACGTAAATAAGCAATACGTTCTACTTGTGCACAAGCTGTTTGAAATTCTGTTTCACGATCATTTTCAAGTCGACGTTTGAATGCTTCAAGTATACTTGCTTTTGTATTATCTTTTACTGCAATTATAAATGGAAAACCAAATTTTTTTGTATATTTATCATTTAATTCAGTAAAAATCATTCGTTCTTCATTAGTTAACATGTCAAGACCAGCAGAAGCTTGTTCATTTGTTGATTCAGCTGTTAAAATTTTTGCAGCAGCTAATTTTCCAGCTAAGTCTGGATGAGCAACTAATACTTTTAAACGATCATTATCTGATGCTGCACGAAATTGTGTTCGTAGAGCGAAATGTAGACCACTTGCTGTATTACTAGCTGGAGCAAGTTCAGCATCAAATGCACGTTCTGCAATCCATGATGAATGTTCAAAAATTGATCCAAATCGATCCACAAATGTTTTTCGATCAAGTTTTGTTGGTATAAGATCTGGTTTAACATAAGGATATGTTTTTTTCCAATGACGAGCAATATCAATTCGAGTTGGTATCCAAACTTTTTCATGATTTTTTATATAATCAATAAAACGAACTAAAGAAGCAATTCGACCAGGACGACCAATTAAACGACAATGTAATCCAATAGTCATCATCTTTGGACTACCTTTTTTTCCTTCTTCATAAAGTGAATCAAAAGAATCTTTAAGATAAGTATAAAATTGTTCACCACAATTAAAACCTTGTGGAGTTGCAAATCTCATATCATTGGCATCTAATGTATAAGGAATAATTAATTGTGCTTTATCTTTATATTCATACCAATAAGGTAAATCATCATCATAAGTATCTGAAATATATTCAAATCCACCTTCTTCACTAACAAGATTAACTGTATTAACTGAACATCGACCAGTATACCAACCCGTTGGACGTTGACCAATAGCAAGAGTATGTAAACGAATAGCTTCATTAATTTGTTGACTTTCAACTTCTTCAGACATATCTTTATGTTCAACCCATTTATAGCCATGTGAAGCTATTTCCCATCCGGCATCTATCATAGCATTTACTTGTGCAGGTGAACGCATAAGAGCAGTTGCAACAGCATAGATAGTGACAGGAATATTCTTTTCTGTAAAGAGACGATGTAAACGCCAAAAACCAGCTCGAGCACCATATTCATAGATGGATTCCATATTCCAATGACGTAGACCAGGCCATTGAGCAGCACCAACAATTTCAGAAAGAAATGCTTCTGATGCAGCATCTCCATGTAAAATATTATTTTCACCACCTTCTTCATAATTAAGAACAAATTGAACCGCAACGTAAGCATCATTTGGCCAACGAGGATTTGGTGGATGTTGGCCATAACCATGCATATTACGTGGATAATATGGCATTTTTGCAATAGGTATTAATGAGTAAAGTAATTATTTTATATAAAACAATCTAAAAAACAAATCTATAATACAAAAGATAAATATGAAAGCTATAAGATCAGCATGTTTCATTTATTTTTTATTTTATCATTATGCTCTTACATTTCACCATGCCTTTTGTCCTATTCTTTATTTTATCTTTTTATTATTGAGAATAGTAATATTACGCCAAGCAGTTATATACTTCTTTCAAGGTTTAAACATATGATAAGGCGACCTGTTCTTATATCATTACACTGCAACACGCTTTCTATAAATAAAATTTCTCTTTTCTCTTTGCTTTTCTTCGATAACCGTTTACCTTGGTCGCACTGTTTTTCGAGCGATTATTTTTTTTTTTCGTGAAACAAAAGTATGCCCGACGTATAAATGGCAGATTTAGTAGGGCGGGTAGAAATGGTTAAAAACAAAAAATATCGAAAACTTCTCTAGTCCATTAACTATAAGATTTTCAATAGAAATCTGCGAAAAAATATTTTTGTACATTTTCTTTTACTAAGAACAGTATATCAAAATGTACAACAATACAATTTATCAAGAAATCTAGAGAAAACAAGAAGTAACAACTTTTATTTTCATTTAATAAAATGTACATATTGATAATAGTGAATAACAATAGTTACGAAACATATTCTTTTTTTTTGTCTCACATGAGAAAATTCAAAACAGATTATGGAAGCCAATAGAAGTTAAATAGTATTTCCTACGAAATCATAATAAATTTTCATTCTGTATTTTCTTTATCAAAAACATACTGGACGATATCCGAAAAAAAGAGTTAATCCCTTGACTAAGACCTACAGCGCACTGTCTATTTTTTCTAGAAACGTGCAAAGTAGTGTGTAGATCTTCTTTTCTGATTGGCACACTTGCTATTAAAAGCACTGATGTAGAAAAAAAAATGTTCAGCATTCTGTACAATCTAGTCGCTTACTAATAGTATTGTCGAAAAATGACTTCCTTACGAAAATGTTCATTAGTTTCTTTTCTTTCTTTTGTAGAAGTTTAATCGGTCATTTATACTTTCTTTTGTAGAAGTTTAATCACCTAAGTAAAGTTAGCACCAGATTCGAGTATTTCTTGTCCCGAT